ACAATAACTCTTTGTTTTAATTTTTTTTGGTTTAAAAACTGATTCGTTTAAGAAATATTTGAAAAAGAACGTTATTATGAGATTTTATTTGAAAAAGTTGTTTATTTACATAAATTTTTTCACGAGGCACCTATAACTTATGCTATTGAGCAAATTGTCCTTGATTCTAGCCCTCTTAGATGGAAATTTTTGATTTTTCTGTTGTAACATATTAAAACATAATAATAATAATAAATAAATAAATAAATAAATAAATAAATAAGTTAATATAAAATTTAAAATAAAAATATGAAAAGTAACTTTAGCTTAGTTGGCATTAATTTTTTTTTTTGTTGAGCCATATTTTTATAAAATATAAAATAATAGAATTTTCGTATGACAAAGTTAAAATCTGAATTTTTTTATATCCTTTCTTTTTTATTTTTTATTTTTCTAAATTTTTGACGAGTTAGATTTTATATCTTCTCTTTTCTATTTTTATTTCTTATTTTTTAATTTTTTTTTATTAAAAAATAATATATGAAGTGAAAGAGATATTTCAAATTTTTTATTTTTATGTATCAGTTAATTTGTTTTAATTTAAATAAAACATGTTGTCGATGTTCATTATTTTAATAATGTTTCATATTTTATTTACTCAAACAATAAATTTAAAATTAATTAAGACTATTAATTAAGACTATGTATAATAGTTTACATATTTAACACTCTATTTTTTCATTTTTACATTCCACATCATATTCTCTCTTCTTCTACCTAATAATTTAATACTTATTCAACTTTTACTCACTCCAAATGATTTTATTTAATAAAATTCAACATCTTATCCCACTATTTTTCTTTCACATTCTTAGATTCTTTTATGATTTAAAATTGATTTTTCCTGTGTCTAAATCAAATAAATCAAGTGTTTATTTATAGACAAAAATGATGAATTTTGGTGTTTTTTTAAAATAAATTACTATGAAATAATTGACCCTAAATAATTATGATGAGATACAAATCTAAAAAATCACAACAGTCAATAAGATTTTGCCAAATATTTTTGTGACTCCCATTCTCTCCTCCATTCAACATGTTGAATCTTTTAAACATAAACTAATCCATATCACTTTCAACATTCCATTCAACACCCCATTAAAACAATACAACTACTTAATTATTTTTTCAACATGTCCATTATAAATAGTCTAAGAGGAATTTTGATCCCTTTTACTTTCGCCATTTTAATAATTAAACTATTCAACTAAATTTTAAACTAATCATTCCCTTCCCATCCATTTATCTTAAATACATTGTGAAATATAATATATAAATTTTTAATTGAAGTTTAAAATGTTAAAATTAAATATTGATGGTCAAATTTAAGGATGACAAAAATATTCGTATCCGCGGATAAAATCGGTCACGGTTATGAGGTAAATAATTAAATAGATATCTGCGGAGAAAATAAATAGATATTTAAATATCTGTTTATTAATGGATATAGATACATGTTTATCCGTCCCCACGGATATTTGTATCCGTTAATAAATTATAAAAATTACTTAAATATTATTAGTTTATTATTACTTATCTTTTCATCTTTTAAAAAACTAAAAAACTAAGCATATTTTTTTTTTTAAGTTTCCTTTGAAGAAAACTTTTATATTTCATACAAATCTTATTAGTCATTTCATATTTAAGCTTCTTCTATACTTTATATCTCAGTTTAAAATTTTACCATCCAACCAATCCGTATCGCTCTTTCTCCGTCCAACCAACATCGTCCTTTCTACTCCTTTATTGTCTGCTCTTCCACTATAACTCACAATTACAATATCATTTTTTTTTGTTAAAAATGAAATGTATGGATATGCTTTGGTGGAAATGAAACAAATTAATGTGATGAAATTTTATTGTTAAAATAAGAGAGATTTGTATCATGTTTTGTGATAATAACGTCTTGTATCTTTATAAGAAGCTGAAAAATCATCTTTTTCAAAACATAATTTTAGAAAAATAGTGTTGTCCATGGATATCTGTAAATATTTATGGATATCTTAAAACACCTAGATTACTTGTTTAGCGGATATCCGCATGAATATAGGACGAATATGAATATGATATTTATCTAACGGAACAAACACGAATATCATACTATCAATTCTCATGGATATTCATTTACATCCATAGTCAAATTGATATAGAACTTATCTTGCACAAATTATTAGCAACATTAATTGAGAAATAAAAATTAGTTCATGTGTGACGACGAATAACTACCATATGATAATACTTTTTTGGGTTAATATCATTTTATCCCCCTATCATATATGTGATTTCTAGTTTACCATCAATATTTTTTTTTTGTTGTAAAATTAACCTTGTCATTTAAAGATTCTGTCGTTTTAAACCTTGTAAAATTTTTGTTTTTAAAATTAACCTTGTCACTTGAAGTTCTGTCATTTTAAATCCTATAAACTTGAAGATTACATCATTTTAAACTCTCTGAAACATGACTGAACAAGGTTGTTTTACAACAAATTTTTTTTTTTTTACAGAGTTTAAAATGACATAATCCTTCAAGTGGCAAGGTTGATTTTAAAAATAAAATTTTTACAAAGTTTAAAACGATATAATCTTAAAATGATAAGGTTAGTTTTACAATTTTTTTTATAAAAGGTAAATCAAAATCACCAATATAACAGGAGAGTAAAATAATAATAACTTATTTATTTATTTATTAAGTTATGTTGAGAAACTAATTCTCAAAATTATTCAACTTTTTAAACGATATTAGTTGTAAAATAACATATATTTAAAAAAATATATGGACAATGTTTATAAAGTTTATTTTTTTGTTTCTATTGTATTTTTGGGTGATAGTATTTCTAAAATTTTCTTTTCATTTATACTATAATTAAACAAATGCTATATGAACAACTTTATCGAAAAATATTTTTTGACATTATTTTCAAAGTTTAAAAAACACAAAAAAATACTATTGATAATAAGATGTTTCAATAGCAGAGATGTTTGCTTTAGGACGGGGTCGAATGATGAGGCTTGGAGATGGCGTATGAAATTATTTGCGTGGGAGAAAGAGCTAATTGAGAAGTGTATTAGATTGCTAGACTCTTTTATTTACAGGATGAGATTGTTGATACTTGAGTGTGGAGATTACATTCTTCTAATCAATATAATATAACAAGTGCTTACCATTTTTTATACAATGACGACAAATCCTCAACAATATGGCGATTCTCAAGCTTAGTGGTCTAAAGAAGTGCTTACCATTTATCGTTTTAATTAGTATTTTTTATTATATTTTTGTTATATTAATTGAATTAAACACTTTTGATTATATTTTTAAATTATTTTTTTTATGAATTTTATATTTAGTTTTTTAGGAGTTTGAAGTAAATGGAACCAAAACTGGGCTTAGATAGGCCCAAGCCCGAACAAGAACCACAAAGCCCAACAGCCGAAACCCTAATTGAGCTAGAAAATAAATTCCCCTTAAACCTAATCGCCTCATTCCCAAACCTTTGTTGAGAGAGCTTCACAGTTTCCACCAAGATGCAGATCTTCGTGAAAACCCTAACGGGGAAGACGATAACCCTCGAGGTTGAGTCTTCCGACACCATCGACAACGTCAAGACCAAGATCCAAGACAAGGAGGGGATTCCTCCAGATCAGCAGCGTCTCATCTTCGCCGGGAAGCAGTTGGAAGACGGCCGCACTCTCGCCGACTACAACATCCAGAAGGAGTCAACTCTCCATCTCGTCCTCCGTCTCCGCGGGGGCGCGAAGAAGCGTAAGAAGAAGACCTATACCAAGCCGAAGAAGATCAAGCATAAGCACAGGAAGGTGAAGCTTGCGGTTCTGCAGTTTTACAAGGTGGATGATTCCGGAAAGGTGCAGAGGCTGAGGAAGGAGTGTCCTAATGCTGAGTGTGGTGCCGGGACTTTCATGGCGAATCATTTTGATCGTCATTATTGTGGTAAGTGCGGGCTTACCTATGTTTACCAGAAGGCTGAAGCATGATTGGAATTTCTAAGTATTTTGATTTCTTGCTTTTCTTCAAGTTTTGAATGTTTTGGATTCAATAGCTTTATTCTCAGACTTTTATTATCTTGCTTAGTTGATTAAATATAAATCAGATTATTCTCTGTTTTGAATTATGATTTTGTGTTATTTAGTATGTTGATGAGGTTCTGAATGGTTAGTTAGTGTATTTGGTTTCGTGTTTGGCTTATCTAAATGACTTTATTCAAAACTGCGCTCATGCCTCTTGAAAGAGCTTTTATTTCTGTATGAAACCTCATGTTATTTAAACATGGAAGAATCTGTTTTTCAATGAAAAATTGGCTACTTTATCTCAAATTATAAGAGCAGCGTTTGATGGTTTGATTCTTTTGTGGATGATCGTTAACCTAGTGCCACATGCTTATTTTCTGTTTGGGCAAGGTAATTTCATAACAATTGAATTTGAGTGTTTTAAAATTATCTTGAGCCTTATTTTTTCACTCAATGCAAAGCCAATTTGATAGTATCCTAATTCTGTTTTCTTTTTAAAAAGAATCGATTCTTAAAAACATTTCATACTAGCTTCCCTTTTATACAAATATGTCTTCTTACAATACTATCTCAAAGTAAATTTGAGAAACCAAAAGCATACCAATTACTTCTAATAACATAGAATCTCTAACAGCAATTTTCTACCAGCAAACACAAATTACTTCTACTCAATTGAATCTCAAAAGCAATTCTCTACCCAAAGAAAACACCAATTACTTTTACTCGAATAGAATTTCACAGTTCACCACAAATATCTTGTAATGTTAAGTTTTGCAAACTTGGTCTTCTTTCTGCTCAAGATGTGTGGTTTAATTTGCGAGAAATGATATAACGTAGTACATGTTTGTTTTTCAATTGAAAAGAAATATATTTTACATGATCAAACCCAAGTCTAACGCATAGCTTTTAAACCCATGTAAGTTTTACAACATTGAACTTTAATTCCTAACCCTGTACTCACATAGGTTTCCAAATCCCATGTATTCTTTGTTTTCAAGCCTTTTAATCAGATTTGCTATTCCTGTTCCACCTATTATTTGAAGGGGACAAAAAGGTTAAGCTCAATATAAATCGTAAACGATTATCATATTTGGTTCAATTTAAATTGTATCTTCATCTTAATAAATTACAAATCAAATTAAGATGAGCACCTTAATTTTTTCAAAGCAAATTAAACAAGTTAATAACACTTGCCTAGTGATATTCCACTCACAAAAACTGTGAGGGCAAGGATGAAAATGATGATTGAAGCTCTCCCTAATAAGCCAATTAGCTTCCTCACCAAATGCTGCCCAACAAGTGCAGCAACAGTGGCTACAGCCACAAAGTAAAGAGCTGCAAGAATAATCAAATGTTAAGCCAGTTTATTTGTTAGTTGGTCATGGACATGTGATTGTAGGGGCACAAGTTTATTCTAGTCGTTATACTACTAAACCAAAAAATGATCTCAAATGCATTTAATTCCACTGATCAATTAAACCATAGACACTTACCATAGGGAATAGGAAAACGTTTGAGAAGGTAATATTCCACCACAGACATCGAAGCAGAAAATGTCATTGCAAAAGTGGATGTAGCACTTGACACCTTCACACAAAATTCTTCAATCAAATAAACATATACAAGATTTTAACGAAGAGAGAATCATGAAAAAAAACAAGGTACCTGAGGAGGGATTCCTAGTCCAATGAAAAGTGGCCCTAAGATAAACCCTCCACCAAGACCAAGCAAACCACCAACTATCCCAGCAATTATGCCACATGAACAATACAGTATCAACTGCTTCACACTCCAATTTGTCTGTTCATCTCCCTTTGAAGCTATAACTCTTTTCCCTTTGTATAAAAGCACTGCCTCGTATGAACTCACTCCTACAGTTATAGGTACCTGAACTAGATTCAACATCCAATACGCCGCCGAGCAAGTTCTCGTATAATTCTGTTTCAAAACACAAGCATTGTACATAGTCATCATTCTTTGTTTATACAAGAACATGAAAATAAATATCAATATATACACTTACTTTTCCTATCTGTAATGCAAGTATCATGATCCAGACAGCGAAAAGAAGTCCAAGTTCCTTCCAATAAACATTCTCAATAACAGAGACCTTCTTTCTTGGTAGATTGGTATTGGTTTGACTTTCACTGACTGATTCTCCGGCTTGTAGATCAAGTACAAAATCTTCTATCCTTCCAGCATCTGATTCTCTAGCTTCCTGGAATTGTAACAGAACATCGAAATGAAGAAAAAAAAAAGTCTAGTTAATCTAAAGAATGAGTAAAGCTCAAGCAACCTTTTTAGTAAGTGTTTCTTTTTTCCATGTGTTAACACCCTTTAAGAACGCGTTGATTGAAATGCCTGTTTCACATATCCAAAACTACATCAATATGAATAAGTAGTGTAGTTATAAAGAAAAGAAGAATTTTGATTACCAGTGAAAAAAATGATTAGCAAAGTTGTTATCATCCAGTCGGGAAAAATGACATTGAAGGCAACACCAAGACTGATACCAAGCATTAACATTGGTTGGAAAAGAAGTGCTAGATCATAGTCAATCACAGGTAAGTCAAGTGTAGGGTGTCTTTTCTTCAAGTTGTATAAAACTGTTGCTCCTGCTCCTCCAGTAATCATAACTTCAATACAAATATAAGGTTTTTATGATGCTTAACATGTCTGTATCATAACATAAGCGAATCAAATTTTAATCATTCAATAATTCAATTCTCTCTCATTCTCTAATTTTTTTTCTTCAATCCATTATCAACAAGGTTAGGAGTATGCTGAAGAACCATTAAATGTGAGGAGAAGCTACATCCACTGCAGTCTATCTGATAAATAAATGCCCATGAAATAAGTTGAAACATCTGAGGATATTTGGTTCACTATACTTCAAGATTTTAGATCAAATTAGAAGAAAATTGGATGATAGAGCTCAGTTTATGGTGATGAAAACTAGTGCATATAAACACTATGATCTTAAAGGTGGGAAGAGAGTGTAAACAAATATGTGAAATCTGAAGAGGCAAGAGGATGGAATTTTTAAGAAAACAATTCTATTTTTCCAGCTCAGAACAAATAAGGTATCTAAGAATAAAATACATTGAGACTTTGAAGTTGGAGTAAGGTGGAGTTGTTCTCCTTGGTGATAATAAAATTTGCAAGATCTATGATATTTGTATGGTCATAACTTTTTTTTATGATCGTGAGTTTCTTCTTCACAACGTGAAGTATGTTATAAATTTCAGGCGAAATCTGTTATCCACAGGCGAAATCTGTTATCCACAAGCATGTTTGAGGTTCTAGGCTAGTGCACTAGAGTTAATATGAGATGTTGAAGATTTCACACGGTGAAATGATCATAATGTGGTTTATATATTTTAGAAGGTTTCTATGTTGCTGTTCATTCATCATCAATTAGTGAAGACTTTCTTGACAAGAAAAAACTGTGGGATTCGAGGTCAAGACATGATGGATCTGTGAAGGTTGTTTCGGAACATCTGAATGAGTATTGCAGAAGACAAGGAATAAAAACACATGTGACCGTTGAGTTTTCATTGGATTTTTGAGGTAAGACTGATGTCAAACAAGCTTTCATAACATACATGTATTCATTTACAAGAATAGACTTATAAACACTTATGGAGGATTGGAGTATGAAGACCGTAACCTACTCTGTTTTTAAGGCCATCAAAACTTTTCTTATTGATTAAGTCAAATTAATTCAACTTGATGCATGATTGTGTCTTCATTACTACAAATAATACATTTTATAACGAAGCTTTATCCCCATCCAAAGAAAAACTGAGGTATAATGTCAATACACACCATCTTTTATTATTTATAAAAATAAAAAATCACATATTCCATCAGTTTTTAATATAACCGAGGGAAAAAACTATTTGGGACATACTTCGAATCCCAACTATTGTAGTTTATGTTTTTTATTTGATTATAAGCGTAAACTAAATGATCTAACCCTTCAGTTTTTGATATAACCGAGAGATAAAATAATCAAATTTTACTATAAAAACACTCGTTAAACAAATTTTACTCTAATCCTTACTTATATAAAGCTGCCCCAAACTTGCATGCATCATTTTTTTGGATGAATTGCAAGACAAATTTTTTTTCAATGTTCTTCTATCTAACACAAAATATTTCTCCGCCCTTTCAATCTATCTCACATAATGGTATTGAGGTTGTTGTTGTTGTTGTTGAATTTTTGCTCACTTGATAGATTGCAAGTGCAGAAAATCATTCTTGAATTAAAGAAGGAGTTTAACTTTTGAAAAGTTAAACAAAGAAGAGAACTCAATTTTTGAAAAGTTAAACAAAGAAAAGAGTTTAACTTGTCAAAAGATGGATATCAACGAAGATATTCATTAATAAGAGCAAAGATTTATTGTAAACAATTTATTTAATATTCTGTTTAAACAATGTAATTTAAAAGAAAAAATTATTCACCTCGGTTTTTGTCATAACCGAGGTGATAGGTAAAATAAGAAGATAGTTTACCTCGGTTTTCTTATAAAACTGAGGGGTATAATAAGCAGATTTTACTATAAATACTCTCACTAAACAAATTTTCACTCTAATACTAACTTATATGTAGCCGCCTCAAATAGAGAAAATATTTACCACCGTCCATTTCATGAGTTGGCATGAAATATTTTGATCTAGAAACGCTCAAGAACTTAAGAAACAGATCTCTGTGATGGATTGCAAGTACAGAAAATAAAAATTCTCATGGTGGGAACAAATAACTTATCAGAAGTTGGATAACTTTTAGAGTATTTTTTTGGATACGCAATATAAGGATATGCAATAAAATTTGAATTTCACCAAATATTTGTTGTAGACAATGTATTTTAACTATTCCGTGTAAACAATATAATACAAAAAAACATTATTCACATTAGTGCTTGATTTGAACCGATAGATATGTTAAACATTTTTTTAGTATTTTCATTGACCTTAAACAAATCTTTGTCGTCTATTTAATGATTATCAATGCTCAGACTCTACCATTAGTGATCCGCGTGAAACCTAAGAGACATCCATTATAAAAGCATGCTGAATATTAACATTTTCAACCTAAATGAAACGTGAAGTGCTTGAAACCTAAAGACGCTTGGAAAATTTCTCCGTGATAGATTGGAAGAGCAGAAAATTACCTGAGTTTAAGGTCTGTTTTCTTAAATATTTATTTGAACTGAAAGTCATATATTTGAATATTGATTTTAATTATCTTACCATTTTTTCATTAGAAACAAATGCAAGTAAGATCCATCGAGAACATGGACGGTTCTACCATACGGTCAGCTTGGGCAAATGCCCATGCTCGGTCCGACTCAATTTTTTTTTTAGTATTCATGTTTTTTTATTTAAAAAATAAATAAAATTAAAATAAAAAAATAGTGGAACTTAGAATCGGAAAAACCTAAAGAGAGAAAGGATTATTGAATAACAATCGTCGCTGTTTTCTTTCCTTCTATGTTCAATATGTCGTCGTCAACTTCCCTTACAGTTCCATACCATTTCTACATCAGTTAATGTAAAACTTTAACTTGATTATTAAATAGCAGATGTGTGTGTTTCTCTTTCTATATAATACAAATATACTACATGTGTTTAATTTGGTCTGTTAATCTATTTGATATGTTTATCACAACAAGAAATAAGGATTTAGAGATCACTAATATGCTTGTAAAGAATTAGATAGACACATATATAATTTTTCTCTTTTTGTACTTTTAGTTTGCTGAAAAGTTGATAAATGTTTAATGCAAAAAGTTTAATTTAAGCCACCAAACTAGTATAACATTGAATCGACTTATTTATAATTACAAATCAATTAATGATTATGCTACTTGCTATTTTTCAAATGAAACTTGTAGAAACAAGTCTATATATTATACTTGTTTAATTCCATGTTTGATTATAATTTATTGATTAAAATTTAGGTTGTTTGATTAACCATGTACTAATTTAATTATTAGAGTTTAGGTTGTTTGATTAACCATGTATAATTATAAATACTAATTTATTTATTAGAGTTTTAAATTTTGTTTTATTTGTTTGAAGAGCATTGTTTATTCTTATTTGTTTTATTTGATTATTATTCTTTTAAATTTTGAGACTACAATTTTGTAACTATTTTATCTTTTGTTCAGAGATGAGGAGATTTTTGGTTGTTAGAGAAAATATTGAGAATATGAATGTTGTGCAACTAAAAGTCGAATTAGAACTATTATCTAATGTGGTTAATGAGTTTAATCCAAATCAGATTGTGCATGATCCAGGTCGTAGGAAACAAATTAATGAGTATGCTCCGGATATTCAAGACCAAGTGAGGAGGGCGTTATATTGATGGGTCCAATACAACCAGATTTGTCAAGCTTTGTTCGTACTCCATTTGGGAGTGTTAAAAGATCATTTAGTAAATCATGGTATAAGAATTATACATGGTTAGAATACAGTGAGATAAGGGGTGCAACTTATTGTTTTTATTGCTTTCTCTTTAAGCAATCTGGGAGGGCCGAGCACTTTGGTTTTGAAGTCTTCAATAAAATAGGATATAGAGATTGGAAGCATGCATCTCAAGGCTTGAAAGGTCACGTTGGTAGTCATAATAGTTTTCACAACTCATGTGTTAAACACTACGATGATTATAATAATCAAAGACAATGTGTGACAAGTAAGTTTGTTAAAGCAACCAAGAAATTAGAAGAATTATATAAGATTCGTTTGACTTGTTCTATAGATCGTTCAAGATATCTCATAGCACAAGGCATGGCTTTCCGTGGCCATGATGAATTCTCTACTTCTCTAAATAAGGGTAATTTTAGAGAGATGGTAGATTGGGTAAAATTTCAAAATGAACAAGTGAGGGATGCTTTTACCAAGGTGATTATGGAAGAGCTTGGTGATAGATAATTCTCCGTGCTTATTGATGAGTCACGTGATATATCCGTCAAAGAGTAAATGACAGTGATGTTGAGGTTAGTAGTTGTATTTTCCAATTTTCATTACCTATTATTTTTTATGCCGTCAAGTAAACTTATTGAATTTATTTAAGGTTTTTGAATGACAAAGGGAATATTGTGGAATGATTTATTTCTCTACATCATGTCAAAGATATTACATCAGAGTCATTAAAGGATGCTCTTTATGATATTCTTGATAAGTACACGCTATTGATTTCAAGGATACGGGGGAAAAGATATGATGGAGCTTCAAATATGAGAGGTGAATTTAATGGTTTGCAAAGAATTTTTTTAGATGAAAACCCTTATGCTTTCTATGTTCATTGCTATGCTCACCGTTTCCAATTAGTTATTGTGTCCGTTACTAGTAGTTGCTCATCTATTCATGATTTCTTTGAGTACATCTCCTTGATTGTGACCACAACAAGTGCATCTTGTAAGAGGCGGGATGCTTTGAAGGAGACACAAAACCAATATATTTTAAATATACTTGAGAGTGGTGAGATATCTAGAGAAAAAGGCTTGCACCAATTATCTAGTCTCACTAGACCCGGGGATACTAGATGGGGTTAACATCATACTACATTGCTTCGTTTGGATCATATGTGGTCCTCCGTGTTAAAGGTGTTTAGTATGGTTGAATAAGATGGATATGGACCATCTCAAGCAACGGGTTTGATAGAACAAATGGAGAGCTTTAAATTTGCTTTTATTTTAAAGTTAATGTTAAAGTTGTTTGGTATCACAAACGAGCTTTCAAATGTCTTGCAAAGAAAAAATCTTAATATTGTGATTGTCATGGAATTAGTTGATGATGTCAAAGCTCGGTTTGCCATAACGAGAGAGAGTGGTTGGGATAATTTATTTGCCGATGTCCAAGATTTTTGTGTTGCTAAAGGTATTCTGGTTCCAAATATGGATGACGAAATACTGGTTCGGGGTCATTCAAGTGTAGAAGGGAGGACTATCACTAATCTTTATCATTATCGTGCAAATATTTTTTATGTTGCTATTGACAAAATATATGTGGAGATGGATCATCCCTTTAGTGAAGGAAGTAACATTATCCTTAATTACTTCTCATGTCTTGATCCCAAGAATTCTTTCTCCAAGTTTAATATTGATAAACTTGCTCGTCTTGCTGATATTTATCATACAGACTTTTCTGATGATGACCGAGGAACAATAAGGGATCAACTTGACACCTATGTTATTCAAGTGAGAAGAAATGTTTCATTTTCCACTTGTGAAGATGTTCAAAGTTTGACTATGGAGATAGTTCAAACTGAGAAATGTTTGGTATTTTTATTCCTTTATAAACTTATTGAATTAGCTTTGATATTGTCGGTGTCGACAACATCCGTTGAAAGAGCTTTTTCAGAAATGAATATTATCAAGTCTAAATTACGCAATAAGATTAATGGTGCATGGTTTAATAACTTATGGTATGTTACACCGAGCGGGAGATATTCAAGTCACTTGATGATATTGATATTATTCGAACATTTACCGCAAAGAAGTCTCGAAAATGACACTTGCCTCATGATTTTATTTAACCCACTATTGTAAGATTATGTTTATCTCTTTTATTTTAAATTATATTTTTGTTGACAAAATGACGAGTCTCTTTTATTTTGATTAATAACTATTTATATATTATATACAATGTAAATTTGCGGTCTTTAATTTTTTGTCCAGGCTTTATAATTTTTCTGACTCCGCCACTGATAGAGAATAATCTTGCATCCAACATTTTATCTTCTCCAAGATTCAATAATTCGAAGATCTAAAATATAAATCTTAAGAGAATTTGATTTTTTATCTAGATCTCTAAGAAATTTGATTTTTTTTAATATTCTGTGTAAACAATGTAATATTATGGATAAACAATGTAACAATTTTTTTATAAAAAGAAGAAATAATCGTACCCATAGGTTTTCTAGATAAATCGAGAGATAAGATACACTAATTTTAAAAATAATAAAAGTGTTGTTGTTGGGGTTCAAACCCATGTGCATATAACTTTACCCCTTGAATTTTAAACCACCGAGATGTTAAGTGACAACTTTTCATGACACCATTTATACATCGCTTCTTTATCCGAAGTTAAATACATTTCGTATTTGAGATGTTGCATATTTTTTGTAGAAGTGATTCAATGACTATCCAAGAGATATGAATGGTTATGAGCTTTTGGGAGTGGAATTCGGAGGATCAAGATTAGCAATCGAAGATGTATTACTTTTAGTGAGTCTTGTCGAGGGAAGAAAAGTAAAAACTTGAGGATGAAACTGTTGGAAACTATGACAAAAAAAACTCAATTTGAGTTGAAGGTTCCTATTATGGATATTACTAATAGTGAGAGAACAATTACAAAGATCTTCGATTATCATTTAACTTATGATAAGGTAAGGAGTGAGATTGTACTATCTCAAATGGAAGATTATGCAAACCCTGACTGTTATGATTTAAATGTGACTGAAATGTTGCAAAAAATTAAAAATATGGACCTTCATGAAGGCATTTGAAAGCAAGCGGAGTCAACGATGATTGAAAAACCATACTTATGGACTTGTTAAACTACTTAAGTAGAAAAAAGTGATTCAGATCAAGGGGATGCAAGTGGCAAGATCAAGGTTCAAGCGATGCTTGAACTTTATAAAAGTTATTCAATAAATGTTGATTTGAAAGAGAGCACTAAGGTGGTTGATGGATAAATTGACATCACCACAATTTCAAGTCAAGATGTAGATTGTTGAATAAGTGATGAAGAAAAAGCAAATATTTTTCGAGATTGTAGGATCATGTACCATAAAAGTAGGCAGCAAATTGACAAAAGGCGCTGGAATAACACGAACTACGATAACTCCGATCGGTGGTGGGCTCCGATCGGCCGGAAGGCGGTTCAGATTTTAGGTCATCCTATTTGTTTTTTCTCAATTCATGTGTTTTGGGCTTCTTCGTGTCAGCTCATGTATCCGTTTGTCAATGAATTGTGTTTCTTATGGATCCATTATGTTTCAACTGTTATTAATATGTATTTCTTTCATTTTTGTTATCACAATCTTCAAAATTTTAGAGCGGAAAAGAAAGAAGGATCGGAGAATCTTAGTGGTAATCTTAGAGAGACAAGAGTAAATTTTTAAGAGTATGTTTTTGGAGTATGGAAAATCTTTGGAGATATTTAAGGGCGATTGAGAAACACTTCTAAACAACTTGAAATTGCGTAATTCATATACCGAGAATTGGAGAAATTGAAAAATATTTAGGTAGAAAATATAATTTTGATCTTGGGAACTTGAGTGACTATTTTCTTATAATTCATTTGTAATCTTTTGTTTCAATTTGTGGAAGTATAAAAAATCGAAGAGTTATTCTCTCTTTTAGAGTAGGTATCCGATCAAACTAGATAAATCAGGTATTATATGTTTATTGTCTTTACTTTAAGTTAAATTGATATCTTATTGGTTAGAGAGTTGTTCAATACTACTTATTTTGATTGTTATGGTTTTTCGTCCTTAAAAATCAAATTTTTGCTGTGATTAAATCTTTAAATTACACAACAAAAACCGATATGTTTAAATCACAAGCAATAAAAGAGTCACATTTGATGAAAGTTATGTTTGAAGAGTTCAAGTTCGAATGATAGTTTGAAACTGAAGCTATATGGTGAGATAGAGAGATACAAATCAAGACTTTGTGAAAAAGGTTTTCCTACGATGAAGTATATGCAGACGTGGATACTATTGAAATGAATAGAATAATTGTTGCAATTACTGGTAGACGGGATTGCCAATCTACCTATTAGATGTGAAATCATTCTTCCTCAAATGAGAATTAGAATAAGAGGTATATGTAAGTTACTTAACGATGTTGTATTTCATGCTGGTACAACGTAACAACAAAATAGTACGTAGTTACTTAAGATGTTGCAATACTTAGGAAAAATAAATAAATAAAGAATAGTTCTAGATATTTACTTGCATGAAATAAATTATTTTTTGTTGCCAATAACTTAATTTATTTATTTTATAATATATGAAAACATTAGCATTCATGATGAAGCAAATTAAAATAGTAGATTTTTCTTACATTTAGATATTGCTGTTGCTGATTTTGCATCGAATCCAATAATAAGAGTAAGCATGGGAACAAATATGCCACCTCCACCAACACCTCCCACAGTTCCAAATGATGATCCTAGAAATCCAATTATGCTACCAACTATTATTCTCCATCCGAATTTCATCCCCTGCATGCACCACAAAGAATATCAATTATTCAATATATGCTTATATACATAACCCTAAAAAAATCATGTAAAATTTTATGAAAAATTGAACACTCTTATTACCGGCCAAGTGTGTTTATAAAATACTTGAGCATGATGACTAACACCAACTCCTTTGGTTTCATTACTTGAAGCTGGTGCTGTTTTTTGGTCGGTGTATTGAGGAGAAGAAGTAACATAAGCTGAAAGAAGAAGAAGAAAAGAAATTATCAGAACCCTTGATCTTCCAGGAATTAACCATTTCATGTCCCTTCTTTTTGATCCATGCACAGCCATCATCATCTTGTAAATATAGCTGATCTAGATCGTTAGATAAAGAGTAGTTTTCTATATTTTGCTTCAAGGATATTTGGATAATCACACCATGCATGTAGAGATTTTGAAAACTTTCACATCAAATGTTATATAGCTGTTTGGTAAATGTTTCGAGTAAGAAAACAAATATCTTAGTAAAAGTTTTGTATGCCTTTCGCATGCCAAACCTTATTATATACAAATAAATTACTCCATTAATTTGTACTCTAAGTTTTTTTTTTTTTACTAGTAAGACTAGTGGTTGCCTACAAATATTGCACTTGTGAAATTTTTTACACTCATAATCAATCAAACAAGTTTTTGTACGCAAATTTATCTCCTTATCACTTTGTTTTATTTGATTTTATTTATTTCTTAGTTTAGTAGTTTAAACACAAAAGAAATAGGTACTTTAACACTTTTTGGGAGGAGTTAAAAACTCTAGACAATATCAATTCATCAACAAAATAATTTAAAGAAAAGAGAATCACATTTGAGGACCTTTAGTCAAACGTCGACTTATATTTAAGTTCAACAATAAATTTGATACGTGATTGCGACTTTATGAGTCTATCGGATGTACTGATTGCACGTGCACAGTCAATCGCGTAATTTTAAAAGATATCGAACCCACAATGACTGATAGTCAAAAACTACTGTTATCTAAAGATTACTATGTAGAGCTAAGCCTAATAATAAATTTGGGTGTTTGGATTTAATTGAAAATTAACTAGAATTTACATTAATGAAGGACACCAATATGTATTTCGTTAACTTAAGGGATTCAGTACGTCATTGGCATTTGTTTTTAGTATTAAAACACAGTTTCGGTGAAACTATTTGTTTAAAAACCTTCGTCTCAAACTTCCGTTCTATTGAATCAGATCATATCAGTCAAGTTCGAAATGAGCGCTTCTGCTGTTTCATTTAAAACTCAAAAGTATTTTTTTTGAAAACAAATAAGATCCAATTAACTTTAAAGCGCTTCCGCTATTTTTAAAATTAATGTTTCAATAACCACTATCCCATTAAAACCTCAAACCTCCGCTCCATTGATTTTAACCTTAGATTGTCTCTTACTTTTGTACAAAAACATTTAAATATTCAATTGGAAATTAAAACCAGAAAAGTATTTTTTGTAAAAATAGTAATGCCAATTAATTACCGAACCCTTTGGTCAAATTTTACACACCGGTATAGGGAATCTAGCCAGACATAATATTATTGCAAAACGATACAAAATTAAAGCGTAGATTCAACAGTGCATGCATGGCAGGAATAAAATAAATTGTGCTTAATAAAATAGGAACCTGAATGTGAATACAAAACGACTGATCCGACTATTGCGTATCCTCCACAAGTCGGTAGGATTGACTTGTAGTAAAAAAATATCTCGGACTAATTATAAAAATCCTAGGCAAATTCTGAAAGTCCGGAAACAAACTAGTGTTATTTCTCCGATGTGGAAAAATACTACTTTTAACGATAAGATTTTATTACCTACGGAATACTACGAAAAGTGGAAAAGCAATACTGGAGAATACTATAACGGAATACAATAAAATAAATTGTTGAACAAAGTAAGTGGAATTGAAAACAATAATACTGCGTAATTCTAAAGTGCCAGAAAAAGATCAAAACGAGAGAGCGACCAGAGAGCCTCAATTGTTGGCAACTGCCTCCATATATAAGGTCTATTTTGGTTGAGAAAAAAATATGTAACTTCCCATGATTTACGTTACTGAAACATGGAGAAAATTCAGGAATATGCGCTGAGTATGCTCTGTTGACAAAAGCTTCGTAATTGCCTGTATGATCGTGGCGAGCGTGGTGTGGTACATGACGTGGGTCACATAACTCAAGCATGTTCCGGCCGTAACATGCATGAGCCGAGGGGCACAAAAACTTAGCTTGTGCCAGTCGTAACGACTTTGTGGCGGGCGGCACGCTTCTCTGCTACAGAACTGCATTTTGCTGTTTTAAAACCATTTCTTCTTCATTTTCCATTCTTTTTCTCCCTTTTTTTATTTATGCCTTGCAAATGCTAAGTACCTGAAATATGATTCAAAAACTACAAAAAGGGATCAAATGGAACATAATTGAAGAATCAGAGATTTAATCTATGTAATTTGGACGAAAAATGCTATATCTTTTCGTGTTATCAAACTCCCCTAAGCTTGAACCCTTGCTTGTCCTCAAGCAATAAAATCAGTATAAAAACTAATAAGGTACAAGTTAAATGCAATTTCATGACACAATTCGAATCATAAGAGGCTGTCTAAGTTTTTGCGGAAACGTAAGCTTAACATGACACAAAAGATACGGTAATAACACTAAACATCCCCTATTATGCAAACCAATTTCAGTCATGCCATTATAGCTCAACCTAATTCTTTTCGCTAAATTTTACCCGTTTTCATTCTAGCGCAATCACATTAAACCCTTTATCTTCACACGCACATAGTAAAGTAGCCGGTTAGTGACTATGATCCTTTTAAGCAAGAGGTCCTGGAACATGAATGTGGTAACCTCCTTTAATTCACCCAATTGCAAGTTGCGGGGGATCGGACCGTAGTCTGTCCTACCAAGTTCAGTACCAGACACCTCTGAACAAACTGACAATAGTTTTTTATGTTATATCACGTAGGTACTACATCCATTGGATTAAGCGACCGTGTGAGGATTGTTAGAACATAGTTTGATTCTACAACCCTTAATTAGAGTTTTGATGATAACAAAATACAAAGAATAAATAAATTCAAAGATATATATATAAAACAAATATGCTGCTTAAAATTATGTTTTATATATGCAGAAGTTCTGATAGAATCAGCATCAGAAGATCAGTAATATGTCAGCATCAGAAGATCAGTATCATGTGCTACACGCTGAAGCTACCAGATCATACGCTGAAGCTTGATGACCAGAATCTGTGCATAAACATATACACTCTGATTCTGATCAAAGATCTTTACCAAGTCATCAGCACACTGAAGCGTTATCACAAGTTAAAGCAAAGAACACTCTGAAGCGCTACCATAAGCAAAGAAGACTCTGAAGCGTTATTAAGTATTCAAGACAGAATTAATGCTAACGGCTATCTTCAGACAAGATCTTCTTAAAAAGGAAAGTGCGTTATTATCACTGAAATGACTTTATGGACAACGTATCTCTGCCTTGTCTATATAAACAAGTCTGTGTGAGAAAAGACGCACGCATGCACTCATACATTTTGCTAAGCCTTCAAAACCAAGCTCACTCAAACGCTTTAGCAAATCTGTTTTTATTCCAAGCTTAAATTGTGAATTATCACAGTTGTGATATATTGTTTTATTAGAAAACGTTAAACACATCATTATTCATAATTTGTAAGAGATTTCCTTGAGATAAACCGGTTTGTGGTTACACTCAAGAAGGCTTTAACAGTTGTTAAAGTAGCTGTTGTAATCCTTTGAATATAGTGGATTAAGACCTCGTTGGAGAGAGGCGAAATCACCTTGACGGGTGGACTGGAGTAGTTTGAGATCAAACGAACCAGGATAAAAATACAGTGTTGTCTAAGCATTTGATTTAAGTTTTACAATTCAACCCCCCTTCTTGTGTTTTTCACATCTTCAATTGGCATCAGAGCGCCTGATTCTGAGTTTATAACACTTAACCGTGTCAGTACAAGATCCAGCGTCAGAAAAACACAATGGCAGGACCAAATCAAAACATCAGCAATGACAACAATGAAGAAAGAGACAGATTCAGTGGCAAACCTCCAGTCTTTGATGGAGAGAACTTTGACTACTGGAAAGACAGAATTGAGAGTTTCTTTCTGGCCCATGATGCTGATCTATGGGACATGGTGACTGATGGATACACGCACCCAGTGGATGGAAGTGGTCAGAAGATTGACAGGAAAACAATGTCTGATCAGCAAAAGCGTGAGTTCACAAATCATCACAAGGCCAGAACAATTCTTCTTAGCGCCATCTCCTATTCAGAGTATGAGAAGATATCAAACAGAGACACTACAAAGAATATGTTTGACTCTCTGAGAATGACGCATGAAGGCAACATTCAAGTCAAAGAAACCAAAGCCCTTGCACTCATTCAGAAGTATGAGGCATTCAAGATGGAAGAGAGTGAATCAATAGAAACTATGTTTTCAAGATTTCAAATTCTTGTTGCTGGTCTAAAAGTTCTTGACAAAGGGTATTCTAATGCTGATCACGTTAAGAAGATCATCAGAAGCTTGCCAAAACAATGGAGGCCAATGGTCACAGCGCTTAAGCTAGCCAAGGATCTCAACAAAATCTCTCTGGAAGAACTTGTCAGCTTCCTCAGAAGTCACGAGATAGAGCTAGAAGCAGATGAACCTCAAAAGCAAGGTAAGCCATTAGCCTTAAAATCTAACATAAAATCTGACTCCAAAGTTTTGCAGGCTGTGGAAGAAACCTCTGATGGGTCCTCATCAGAAGAAGATGAACTATCTCTCCTCTCCAGAAGGGTGAACCAATTGTGGAAGCAGAGACAAAGGAAGTTCAGGAATCCCAGAAGATCAGAAAATTAGAATGAATCTTTCTCCAGATACAGAAGGTCAGAATCCTCCTCTGGACACAAAATATCTGAAGGTTCTTTAGGGAACAAAAAGCCAAACAACAAAGACATCATCTTCTATGAATGTAATGAGCAAGGGAACTACAAAAGTGATTGCCCAAAGCTTTAGAAGGAAAAGCCCAAAAAGAAGTTTGGCAAGGAAAAGAAGAAAAGTCTCATGGCTACATGGGATGATTATGACACATCTGAAGCTGACTCAGAATCAGATGATGAAAGAGCAAACATAGCTCTCATGGCAAACATAACAGAAGACAGTGAAGCTTCTGAGTCAGAATCTGAATCAGATACATAAGAGGTATTCCCTGACTTTACTATAAACTTTACTAAGGCTGAACTAGCTGAAAGCCTTAATGAAATTCTAGAAAGATATCAGCAGATCAGAG